TGGCACGGGCATGAATAGCACGTACGTGGTGGCTATTTTAAGCCATTACCAGTATCATTAGCTGATTCTGGAGATCTGTGGAGGTGTGACTGCACCCTGCGTGACGGGAGATGTCTCCCGTGCTGGAATCAAATTCTCACACTGTAGATGTAATAATCAAATAATTTTGATTTATTATGTACTATGTAATTATGTAATGAATTAATGAAAGTGAAATGTATAATTATGATGTTGATTTTTTTTTAATAATTATGATAAATGGGTTGTGTCCCAAGATTATTTGTAAGGCCCCAAGTCATTACGACTATATAACACATGAAAGGGGTCAGGATAAGGGTTAGGGATGAGGCGAGGGTGGTGGGGGGTGGGGGTAGGAATGGTGCCCAACCACTTGGACGGTCGGGGATTGAACGCCGACCTGCATGACGCAAGACCGTCGCTCTACCATCCAACCCAAGTGGCTGGGTATAGAAGTATAGGGCCTCTGTCTTTTGGAATGCATTTTAATGGGTGGAATAGACTCACTTAAACTTGAACCTAATCGTGCCTAACTTAACCCACCATATTACTAATAGCTCAACTGTGTCATTGGGAAGTGTGTAATGGTGCAGTTTGACTCAGCTCGACCTCTCCCCCACCGGTACAGGAGTTCACGGTGCGAGAACTGGACCAGTTCCTGTACCCGGGTCAGACGCTGGACACCGTGCTGACCCCGGCGGAGAGGGAGTACTGCGTCAGACACGAGCTGGACGCCATCAGGGCCAAGCAGGAGGAGGGCCACGTCCCCGGGTACCCTGAGATCAAGCTCTTTCCTGGACAGTCGCTCGGTAAGACCCGTCCCGCTTTATTGCTCGTCAGTTCAGGGCTGAATCATACTAAGGTAGTATTAAGGTGAAAAGGATTTGGCATTACCCCGTCCTGAGGTTGTGGTCGTCCAAGCTGGGCCCTGGCCCAAGGCCGAAAAGTTTCCTCGGGCTTGGTCAAGCCTAGCCTGAGGCCAGGTAGACGGACGAGCCTAGCCTGAGGACAGGGAGACGGACCGACCCTAGCCTGAGGATAGCGAGACGGACCTACCCTAGCCAGAGGACAGGGAGACGGACCGACCCTAGCCTGAGGACAAGGAGACAGACCTACCCTAGCCTGAGGACAGGGAGACGGACCTACCCTAGCCTGAGGCCAGGGAGACAGACCTACCCTAGCCTGAGGACAGGTAGACGAACGAGCCTAGCCTGAGGCCAGGGAGACAGACCTACCCTAGCCTGAGGACAGGTAGACGGACGAGCCTAGCCTGAGGACAGGGAGACAGACCGACCCCTAGCCTGAGGTCAGGGAGACGGACCTACCCTAGCCTGAGGACAGGGAGACGGACCTACCCTAGCCTGAGGACAGGAAGACGGACGAGCCTAGCCTGAGGACAGGGAGACGGACCGACCCCTAGCCTGAGGACAGTTAGAAACTCTGGTGGCTGCACGGAATGAACATTTGCCTGTTGTTGATGAGGAGGCGCTCCAGCACTTCCCATCCCGTCCTCACACTGGGCTGTTTACAGCAGCGTCCGTCCTCCCCAGACGCAGTCATTAATTTTAACATACTGTGAACTACAATTTAGTTTGTTCTCTTGTACAAATTAATGTTATTATACATACAAATTATATATATAGTTAGACGTAAGTTAGGTTAGGTGTTTAGGATATGTTGGCGATTATTTGTATTTGTAGTACGTGAGTGAAGCATATATAGAACTGTGGTTCGAACAGAGGACGTGAGCGAAGCACTTGTTCCGGAAATGTTCGGACGTCATCAGTTGTGAGTCGTGTGTAAACCGCTTTTCATTCATAAACAAGGGGTTTGGCGGCTGGATTAACGAGCTTAGCGCTTTGTATGCGAGGATAGGCTGCACTTATAGAGGTGTGCTTCGAAGGTAGAAAGCGTTATGAGCCATAACGAAGCACTGTTCGAGTAAAGTGTGAACGTGCAGCCCGTCCTTCAAACAAAGACCCAAAAGTGATTCCATCCATTCGCCAAACCCCCTGTTTATGAATGAAAAACGGTTTACACACGACTCACAACTGATGACGTTCGAACACTTCCGGAACAAGTGCTTCACTGACGACTTTTGTTCGAACCACAACGCTGTAAATGCTTCACCCACGTATTACAAATACAAATAATTGCCAAGAGAACCTAAACACCTAACCTATGCCTATATATGCACAATATGCTAATGAATTATAATATTTTTTTAATATTTGAGAAAATTCCCGTTTTGAATGAACAGCATGTTAAAATTTATGAATGCGTCTGTGGGGTCGACCGCTGGATGGAATGGACTTGAGTCGAGGACGAGTTAACTCCAATTACAAACACAACCTAAACACGTCATCTAACCGAACCAAGGCCTAACTATGCACCAAATTATAATATAAAATATTATTAATTTATAATTGAGAAAACATCGATTTAAAAAAAAAGTTAAAAATTACGATTGTATTTTCAGGATGTGTTTTCGATTGTAATTCACACATTTACAATGCTAACCAGCATATATTCATTTTCTTCTGTCCTCCATGGACAGGGTGAGAGAGCTGTCAAACATATAGTTCAGTGATTTATTGAACAATCAACCACAGAAAGAGACCACTAATCACTTCTATCGTGGTGGGGGCTCTATAAACCCCCACAAGCGTGATTGAGGGCGCTACAGACCCCCCACTAATCACTACCAGCATGGTGGGGGACTGAGAGCGATCAAGGACTAACTAAGCGTTGTGTTGACAGTGGGAGTGTACCTGGCGGAGGAGCTCATCGTGGACATGTTTCCCCTTCACGATCGCCAGGCGCTGGAGACCCTCGCTGGCCACTGGTATAGAGCCATATTCCAGACCGCCCCTTTTGGTAAGTGCCACTGTTGTCCCAAGGTTTAGGGGGCTTCGGGGTTAAAAGGGCACTTCTTATCATAACAGTAACATCTGAAACATTAATATCACAGTAACACCTGAAACAGTAATATCACAGTAACACCTGAAACATTAATATCACAGTAACACCTGAAACAGTAATATCACAGTAACACCTGAAACATTAATATCACAGTAACACCTGAAACATTAATATCACAGTAACACCTGAAACAGTAATATCACAGTAACACCTGAAACAGTAATATCACAGTAACACCTGAAACATTAATATCTGAAGATCTCATCTAGTCTCAATTTATATTTCATGTAATATGTTGTAATTTATTAAGCTAATTCACATGAATATAATTGATATAATATTATAAGGAAGGTATTATATACACCTGATACACTCTATTTTGTGCACAAAGTGTGATGATATACTATTATATTAAGGGTCTTGCTTTATTATTATTATTATTATTATTATTATTATTATTATTGTGTATAGAATAGAGAAAATAGATAATATAATATAGATAAATGAATTGGTATATATCTACTAGATCTGTGATTTTAGTGACAGAGTAAGTGTAGTAGATTATGGTTTGGAGTTTGTGTTATGATGTTGTGTGAGTGTGTGTCATGTTGTAGTGTGACTTTGGAGTGTGAGTGTGTGTCATGTTGTAGTGTGACCTTGGAGTGTGTGTGTCAAGTTGCAGTGTTAGTGAGGCGCATGAGAGTAGTGTTAGTAAGGAGCATGGGAGTAGTGTTAGTAAGGAGCATGGGAGTAGTGTTAGTGAGGAGCATGAGAGTAGTGTTAGTGAGGAGCATGGGAGTAGTGTTAGTGAAGAGCATGGGAGTAGTGCGGGTTAACTATCAAACACCTCTGATGGATGATCAGTTTGAGCGGCATTTTCCAATTGATTCACACAAGCAAAATATAAGAACAGGTTTTAGGCCGGTCGTTATATCCGGGGCTAAGCGAGAATAGTATCCATATATGTCATGATAAAGTTGTTAGTTTACATATGTAGTTTACACATGTAAATATAATGTTTGCAGGCATCTTCGTGCCAGATATAACACTTCCGTCCGTCAGTCAGAGTACAACCTCTAAGGAGAAAGATGACAGTCCACATACGCCGGCCAGAACCCGTCTTCCTTTCACAGGTGATGACTTCAATTGACCCCAGCTGACCCCAGCTGACCCCAATTAAGCCCCGCTAATCCCAGCTGACTCAAGCTAATCCCAGCTGTCTTAAGCTAAGCAAAGTTGGCCAAAGCCGATTCGTTTTAAACCCCTAGACTGCGCAAGGCGGCCCGTCAAAATTAGCCCAGGCAGTCCGACTGAGTTGCGGTGACATCCCTTGACCCGTGTAAAGCCCAGCTAAGTAAGCCGGCCGGATTTGACTTGGCTTGGACTGTTTGAAAGCCATTTGACCTGAGCTAGGCCAGTGTGACCTGCTCTGACCCAGTAATAAGTCCTAACCTAACCTAACGTACGATAACCTAACCTAACCTAACCTACGATAATCTAACCTACTTTTGATCAAGCCAAGTTAGGTTTAACCAAACCAGGTCAAACCTAACCTTAAATCACATAATCTAACCAAACTTAACATAACCTAACATAATTTAAAATTCTAACCTATCCTAAGCTAACTTTACCTAACATAATTTAACCAAACTTATCATAGCCTAACCTAACTTAACCCAACATAACCTAACCCAACTTAACCAAACATAACTTAACTCAACATAACCTAACTTAACTCAACATAACCTAACCTAACTTAACTCAACATAACCTAGCCTAACTTAACTCAACATAACCTAACCTAACTTAACCCAACTTAACCTAACCTAACTTAACCTAACTTAACCCAACTTAACCTAACTTAACATAAACTATCCTAACTCAACATGACCTAACTTAACTCAACATAACCTAACCTAACTTATTTCAAAACTGTGAAGAGATGTCATGAGAATGGGATGTGTTCTTGATGTAATGTATTCATAGAGATTGACACACGGCAGACTGTCACGGGCCAGAATGACACACACGGCAGACTGTCACGGGCCAGAATGACACACACGGCAGACTGTCACGGGCCAGAGTGACACACACGGCAGACTGTCACGGGCCAGAATGACACACACGGTAGACTGTCACGGGCCAGAGTGACACACACGGTAGACTCACGGGCCAGAGTGACACACACGGTAGACTGTCACGGGCCAGAGTGACACACACGGCAGACTGTCACGGGCCAGAATGACACACACGGTAGACTGTCACGGGCCAGAGTGACACACACGGTAGACTGTCACAGGCCAGAGTGACACACACGGTAGACTGTCACGGGCCAGAATGACACACACGGTAGACTGTCACGGGCCAGAATGACACACACGGTAGACTGTCACGGGCCAGAGTGACACACACGGTAGACTGTCACGGGCCAGAGTGACACACACGGTAGACTGTCACGGGCCAGAATGACACACACGGTAGACTGTCACGGGCCAGAGTAACAAGGGCATGTGTCCGAGCTCTGCGTGAAACTGTCCTGCGTACACAAAGTCATGTGGTAATTTCTTACGCAAATGACCCTATTTCGCGTCACTATTTACCTATTTATTTTCATAATGTAAAAAAAAAATCCTATTACATCTGTGTTTTGGATATATATTTAAAACCCGATTTATCTTTCCTTCATAAAAAAAAACTTACATACGTTTTTAAGCAATCATTTTTATGGTGTATAGTCAAATAGCTTAGGATATATTACCTGAATTTATGACAAGCCGGCGGCTTGTCAAAAGGCCCTCCTCCTCCCCCGTAAGTCCTCCCCTCTCCTCTGGTATTTCCGGCTTCGGCGGGTAGGCGGTTCATGAGCTTATAACCCTAGGGGTGAAAAAGCATCTCCTGTTTTCTGTGCTACTCTGTGGCTTGTTGAGCTTAAAGCTGTTTGTTGCTCCTTGTTTGTGTCATGTCTGAAGCTGTTCAGTGTTTTAATGGTCTACATGGCACCAGTCCTGTCACGTCTGGCTCAGTGCCGCTAAACCCGTTGGGCCCGATTGGGTTAGGTTGAATATGGTTGTAAAATTCGATGGTGAACCGTTTTAATGTGTCGTGTATGAACTTGGTAGACTTAAATACAATGGCGAGTCAGTTGTAGGGTAAAGGTAAACTTGTAAAGCAAGGTGTAAACCACGTAACGTAACTCAGGCTTCACGAGCGTAAGGTAACGTTTAAGTTACCTTAATTGTCTTCATTATCTCTGAAGATAATAGATGTTAGAGTTACCAAGTGACAGGAGTTCTTATATATAGGCTCGTAATTATCATTCAGTGGATCTTTCCTCAATAAGAACATAAGAACAAAGGCAACTGCAGAAGGCCTATTGGCCCATACGAGGCAGCTCCTATCTATAACCACCCAATCCCACTCATATACATGTCCAATGGGCCTTACTCACATCAATGTGGCTTAGGGACTAACCTGTAACTGTGGTACAATACAGGATTACAGCTCCGCTACTTTTTCCACAAGCGGCATTTCCCAAATTTCAGTCTATATCAAAAGTCTATTTCAGATTTTGGTGTGGACGCGGTGAACCTTTCTCAGTTAGTCTTTCGAGGTCTGGACCCCTGGAGCTGGAGTCTTTCTGGCGGGCTTCATAAGTCTCCCTGGTACTCTGGGGTCTTTGTAGGATGTTCTAGGTCTTATCGAGTCTCCTTCTAGGACTTTCTAGTCTTTTTCATCTCTCAAAGGTCTTTTGGTAGCCTTCGTGAGACTGTATAGGTCCTCTTTTGTCCTTGTGAAGTCTTTCCTGGTCGACCCACCCTTGAAGGAGTCTTTCCTGGTCGACCCACCCTTGAAGGAGTCTTCCCTAGTCGTCCCACCCTTGAAGGAGTCTTCCCTGGTCGTCCCACCCTTGAAGGAGTCTTCCCTGGTCGTCCCACCCTTGAAGGAGTCTTCCCTGGTCGTCCCACCCTTGAAGGAGTCTTCCCTGGTCGTCCCACCCTTGAAGGAGTCTTCCCTGGTCGTCCCACCCTTGAAGGAGTCTTCCCTGGTCGTCCCACCCTTGAAGGAGTCTTCCCTGGTCGACCCACCCTTGAAGGAGTCTTCCCTGGTCGACCCACCCTTGAAGGAGTCTTCCCTGGTCGACCCACCCTTGAAGGAGTCTTCCCTGGTCGTCCCACCCTTGAAGGAGTCTTCCCTGGTCGTCCCGCCCTTCAAGGAGTCTTCCCTGGTCGTCCCACCCTTGAAGGAGTCATCCCTGGTCGACCCACCCTTCAAGGAGTCTTCCCTGGTCGACCCACCCTTCAAGGAGTCTTCCCTGGTCGACCCGCCCTTCAAGGAGTCTTCCATGGTCACCCCACCCTTGAAAGACTCCTGAAGAGTCTTCCCTGGTCGACCCGCCCTTGAGAGACTCCTGAAAGAGTCTCAGCATAATGTATAATGCCCACAATTAAGTGTGTGGGAGAGAGGCGAGAGTGTGTGGAGCACAAGACCGTCCTTAGTGTTTTTGCGGGTGATCCAGCGGCTCTAGTTAGCGGCCGCCAGAGAATTTTCCTTGTTCCTACACCCGCAACCTTTGTTCTGTCTGCTTGGTTCCCTGGAGGTCGTCAGGTACGGTGCCACTGGTGCGGGTGTGGGCGGGTCTGTGTGCCCTGGGTATAAATATATATATATATATATATATATATATATATATATATATATATATATATATATATATATATATATATATATATATATATATATATATATATATATATACCCAATATATATGGGTATATATATTGGACATATATATGGGTGATGTGGCCAGGGTTTTTTTTTCAAACGTAGGTTAGATATATATGAGTTTGTGTGGATATTTTATGGGAGCGGCCTCGTATGGGCCAATGGCCAACCCAATGGCAGCTGCCTCGTATGGGCCAATGGCAGCTGCCTCGTATGGACCAATGGGAGCTGCCTCGTATGGACCAATGGGAGCTGCCTCGTATGGGCCAATGGCAGCTGCCTCGTATGGATCAATGGGAGCTGCCTCGTATGGGCCAATGGCAGCTGCCTCGTATGGACCAATGGCAGCTGCCTCGTATGGACCAATGGCAGCTGCCTCGTATGGGCCAATGGCAGCTGCCTCGTATGGGCTAATGGCAGCTGCCTTGCATCGGTCAGTTGGCCTTCTGTAATCCCCTTTATTCTTCAACCTGTCCTCAGGGATGAAATCCACTCACGGGGATGGATTTAAAACGACTAAACAATCAGTGCTATTATCTACTCTCTATCCATGGTTATGTTAAGGTTATTTTAGGTTAAGATTTGGTTAGGTTAGGTTTCATTATGTTTTGGTTACGCCAATACGGTGTATTATTGACGATACTGTGAAGTATGGAATTCGAAAATATTTGAGTGTGCCCGAGAATTCCGTTTACAAAAAAAAATCTTCGAAGAAAACGTTTTCAGCATACATTTTTTATATTTTAAACCAACGATTTATAATGCAGTAAAGTTATAATATGAGAATAATCCTTGTTCAGGACAAAGGTTCGCTCACCAGATTACATGTAGACTAATTGTGGAACCATAATATACTCTCAGACCATCACAAATATCTAGAGAACTATCCAAGTGGTTTGAGGGGGAGCGGAGGTGTGATTTCTCACGGTGATCTAGCTGCTCTGAGAACAGGTTCTTATTCTTATGATATCTTATATCTTAATTATTATGTGATTCTTATGACTCGTCACATATTCCCGTTTTCTGTATGAACTTCATCACCTTGCACATAGTGGGACTGAACTCAAGGAACCATTTGTGTGACTAAGCTCGTAGCTGGTTTAGGCCCCTCACGGAGTATGGTATAGTCTTCCCCAGTGTTGACGCTTCTCGTACACTTGGCATCGTTTACAAATTTATACCAACAATAGTACCAATAGCGACTGTGGCGTAGACGTAACAATTGCGAACTGTTGCACTCTAACAAGCCAGTGTTCTGTACAATTAATTTCATAGATGGTTCGAGAAGGAAGCCAAGAACCTAACTGCTCTAAGGCCACGGTGCCCACCCACTTACACACGGTGTAAGTGGGTGGGCACCGTGGGTGGTGTAGGTGGGTGGGCACGGTGGGTTGTGTAAGTGGGTGGGCAC